ACTAAGACACACTACCCCTGGAGAATAGTTTCAGGGATGGTTTTCAGCATATGCCCTCCCCTGGCCAACAAGTTTGTTTTATGGTAGGTAGACATCTATCCCCCCACTGTATCCCATGAGAGGTGATGCTCACTGAGAAAGAACCACTTCACTTATGTCAGCTCCTGGGAAGCTACTTTTTGCCCTGTGTGTAAAAAGGATAAGAAAATTCTGGAAGCCACCAAGAAATATACTCTAGAAGCCATCCTATAACCAATGGACAGCAGATAAGACACGATAAAGTAGACAAACTGGAAATCTGAGAAGAAGATAAAACTTTGGTCTTCAATAACATCATTGAACTATTTTTTTTAGATTAATTTATTATGAATACAACATTTTGCCTCCATGTGTGGAGGTACACCAGAAGAGGGCACCAGATTTCATTGTAGATGGTTGTGAGCCACCATGTGGTTTCTGGGAATTGAACCCAGGACCTCTGGAAGAACAGCCAGTGCTATTAACCTCTGAACCATATCTCCAGCCCCCAAATTATTGAACTCTTAGATCAAGCCCTGCCTGACAGACATATGACCACTGGGGTTGTTAATGAATTCTTTGCGGGGAGAGGTTGGAATGCAGTTTAGTGGTAGACTGGATACCTAGTAAACATGAGGGCATAGGTTGGATTCCTAGCAACACAATAAATATATAAGTAAATAATAAAAATTAAATAAACCCTTTTTGGTTTTAATACTGTAGGAATTGGAGTTATTACTTAGAACCAAAGCCGTCCTCGGTGAAACACTGACTAGTAGGTCCTCAAGAACTATCTGTTGAAGTGAACTCATCCCTAAAAGGTTGTTGTTAGCTCTGCAACAACATTGTTTCTGGGCAATGAAGCTCCATGGTCATGCAGGAAACACCCGGATGTCGGTAGATGCTTATTTTAGAGGCCTGTAGGAACAGAAGGACTCATGAAGCATGCTGGTAGCTAACTCTGTAGCCTACACATGAGGCTGCCTTTATTTCAGTTTCCCTGTCTCTACATCCAGGCGATAAAACATGCTTCCTTCTCCCATCCCAGCGGCTGTGTAAAAGTGGAGAAGCCAAAAGTATTCGACTCTGTGCGGTTTTCTTTTCCACGTCGAGAAGCATGGACTGTGTCCCCACAGAGCAGGCCTCCTCACCTTCGGAAGGGTTTCTCTCATGAGAAACTTGTGAGAGGCATCTGTGTTGGCTCTTAACACTGAGAAAATCTCTAATGAGGAGTCAGAATCAGAGCTCAAGCTTCCACTCTTTGTTCCCGAAGCAAACTTATCAGACAGCAACACCTTGAAAATTACGGTTGAATTAGATCAGTGGCTTTTAAACCATGCAATTCTTACATTGGTAAAGCACAGCCCAATGGGAATGTGTACTGTTAAGTGTGTGCTTATCAACCACCCAAGCAACGTGTTTTCTATAATGACTATTACTTTTGTCTACTTAGATCTCATCCTAGGGTTGAAAACATGGCTCCGAGAGCTTAGGCATGCTTGCTGTCTCTCAGACCTGAGCTCGGTTCCCAGGCCTGCCGTCAGGAGGCTCACAACTGCCTGTAACTGCCTGGGCCTCCATGGAGGCTCCAGGTAATCTAACTCTGTCTTCTGGCCTCCCCAGGCACCCACACACCCACACCTACATGCCCTCACCTAGTCCAGCCACCCCTGGATGCCCCCCAACCTACCTCTAGGATTCTGCCAAGATCCACTCTGCCTAACCCCCACCCCACCAGACCCTCCCATACAACATCCAACCTTTCTACCCAGCAAGATCTACCCCCAGATGCCAGGTTTGTAACAGAACCCACATCCTGTACATCACCCCAGTCCCCTCTGTCTACCAGATTTCATCCCACCTAAGCCATTTGTAACCTGTGGGCCCAATCCATCCCCCATCCCCCCTTCTGCCCCCAACCTGCTCTGTCCATAACAGACTCAGCACTAACAGAAGAAGTCCACATGGCCAGATCTCACTGGGAAAAAATACAAAAAGAACAAGATTGATCGATCAAGCTGGTATCTCCCCTCCCAAACCTTCCAGTCCTGCAGAAATGTTTGCTATTGAGAATTACCTAGACAAACCCCAGGACACAGAAGTTAAACCTCATCAAAGAATGCAAGGAGTTTGAAGAAGACACAAAGAAACAGGTCAATGAAATTAAGGAGGAAGGACAAGGAGAATAAACACCCGGAGTGAGGCTCAAGAAAACAAAAGTGTAAGGCTGCTGGAAACGGCAAAGATAGTCCAGGATTTAAAAATGGAATTCACAGCCGGGCGGTGGTGGCGCACACCTTTAATCCCAGCACTCAGGAGGCAGAGGCAGGTAGACCTCTCTCAGTTCAAGGCCATCCTGGTCTACATAGTGAGTTCCAGGACAACCAGAGCTACAAAGTGAAACCCTTGTCTCAAAAAACCAAAACCAAAGTAAATAAATAAATCTTGATTCTACTTGCTGTCTTTATTTTTCAAAGATTTATTTTTATTTTTAACTGTGTATGAGTGTAGAGTGGATATGTGCATGTGAGTGCAGGTGTCATCCAAAGCTGGAGGCATCAGACCTCCCTGGAGCTGTCTTTATAGATGCTTGTGAGCCAACCAGCATGGGCGCCGGGGCTTGAACTTGGGTTCTCTATAAGAGCAGTACATATGAGGGCTGGAGAGACGGCTCAGTGGCTAAGAGCACCGGCTGCTCTTCCAGGGGACCTGGGCTCAATTCCCAGCATCCACATGGCAACTCACAATTGTCTGTAACTCCAGTTCCAGGGGATTTAACAGCCTCACACAGAGTATATACAGGCAAAACACCGGTCCACATTAAATACATGAATCTTAGGAAGAAAAAGAGAGTGGTACTGTAAGTGACCAGTCCCCCATTTTAGCAGCCATTACAGGCTAACATGTGCTTGTATGACCTTGCCACTCCTGTCCTGGTCACTAAGGTCAGATGCCCTCCTCGTGGCAAGGAACCAATCAGAAGTTAGCTGGCAGGGCTGTGCTTTACGGCTCTGGGTGTGCTTTACGGACAGTGCACAACAGTGACGTGCAGAACATAGCAACCACCCTGGGAGGGCCTATGGACCATAACAACCAGTTGACCAATCAGCACAGGGTGGGTCACCCAAACCTGGAAGCCCACCAATCCTGAGACTGTTTCATATCCCTAGACACTCCCCTTACGCTGCCCTTTAAGGTCCCTGCCTCGAGGTTGCTTGGGGTCTTTCTCCAGCCATCCGCCAAGGTGGTGGGGTGAAGGGCCCGAGCTAATGGGGTTAGCTCGTTAAACATCTACAATAAAAGACTCTTTGCTTTTGCATCGAAATGGGCCTCTTTGTGATTTTGGGGTTCAGAATTTGGGCACAACAGTACATCATACACTTTATCCGCTGGGCCGTCTCATTAGTCCTCCTCTATAAAGATAAACAGCACACTTGATGAGGGTATAGGTAACTATTTATTGTGGAAAGTACCTAAAAGAGAACCTGGCAGCCAAGGTGAGTCAGCAGCTTTCCAATACCTGACTGGTGTCTCTCCTGCACAGCCTTTTATTATCGCATCCTTACGAGACTCTAGCCACGCCCAAAGTGGGTGTGGTTAGTGGCACAGTCACCCAAATTCTCTCCCTACATGTCTCCTTTAGGGAGAATGTTGACAGCCTTTCCCCTTGTGGTTCCATCAGGCTGAGTCCACTTCTTACCCTATGCCCCCCTCCAACCCTAGAGAAAGCAATGGAGAAAAGAAATAAAAGAGCAACGAAGAAGGAAAGAAATGGCCTGAGCTGACCGCACACCCAGTGCCTAGAAAACAGCGTCTGTCCAGGCAGGGACTTCCTAGAAATCATTTCCAAGGAAGGTGCTAAGATTTGCAGACGCAAGCCTAAGGCTGCCAGGAACCATGCATCACTCTCGAAGGGACTTGACCATGCCAAGACAAAGAAGAGCTGATCCTAGAGATGGATAGAAAGAAGCCCTGAGGAACCCATTTGAAACCCTGGATCACCTCATGGCCAGAGCCTGCACTGCCATACCCCTGTTTGTTCTACAAGTCAACAGATTTCATCTTCAAGTCAGTTTCAGCCGGCATGTGTCACACACACAAACCCAAAGTTTGTATTTGCACAAAAACAACTTTGGAGACAAAATTGCTCTGGTCGGGTCACCTTTCTCCCTTGTATGTGACATTATGAAAGCGAGAGAGCGTGTGATATTGTGAAAGTGGGTGAGCCAATGCCAGCGATGACCTGACCTATATTTCCCCTGTCTGTAGAGGTGAGAAACTAGAGAAATCTGAGCCTACTAAAGTGATGTGTCTTGTCCATGCCCATGAGTCAGCTGTCTCATAAAGATGTAAAACAAAGTTTCTTCTGAGACAGCATGTCATGTTTGCCCCAAGGTAGCAGAGAATGATCTTGAACTTCTCTGATCCTCCTTCTGAGTTCAGGGGTGATTATCAGTATGGACCCCCACACCCGGTTTACATGAAAATCTCTTTACTATGCTGTTTCTTAAGTTTCTTCCATCTCTGTAGCTTCTAGAGTGTGTACATGACTGTCGCCACCTCAGCCTTTAGTATTTCCCAAAGCACTCACCTGCTGCATTAGCATCCACACAGCCCTGAGCAGCCAGCAGCGATTACAGAACTGTTTTACATGTGGAAAGACTCTATCCGAGCAGGCTGAGGTGCCCGGCCCTGAGGCAGAGCAGGGAAACCAGCTCCCCAACCTCCAGGGCAAAGTGGGATCAGGAATAGGAAAGAGCCTTGGAAGGAAAAGAAGTCTATTGATGCCAGATGTCTTATTGCAAAGCCAAACCTAAGTACACGGTGACCTCGTTATCACCCCCAGAGGTGGCACGCTTACAGATCAGCCCTGCTCCATCTCTTCTGCCTTGGGGAAAGCACGGGGAGACTTTCTCCAGCAAGGTTAAGCCTTGCCGATCTATGTCTGACATCACCTTCTCCAGAAAAGACCCATCAGGAAGAAAAGAGTGGCATCTCCTTTACTCTTTAAGAGCATGGCCGCCCGGTTACATTCAACCCGGGCCAATCCAGACGTCAGTGGATAATTGCAGAGCTGTCAGAATGCAAAATGTATAGACAGTGTGGACATACGGGATGGTTTGTTGGGGGAAATGGATTCGTCATGTGCACAATCCATGGCAGCAGATAAAGCACGCTGGCAATGTTGCACACGTGGGGGTGCAGGGCCTGAGCATATCATCTTGAAAGCACACTGTTATGACATTTTGGGAATTCCAGAGTCAGCGCTGAGCAGATCCAGAGGCCACAGCCGTGCTCCACTGTGCAGCTGGCCAGGGCCACAGAGAGCCTTCCATGTCACAGCACAAATGGTGTTTTCTCATTTCCGCTCTGTCAAAGCCATGGAGCTCATTAAAGGGGTCTTTCATAAAGATCTGATTGAGATGTGTTTAAAATAAATTAGTATGACAGTAATATTCCTTTTTGAGGTTCTTGAAATAATACAAATAACTCCATGTAGTTCTAAATTCCAAAATGCAAAACCTTTTAACCTGAAAGCCCAAACAAACCGTAAAGTCTACTTATTTCTCTCCAGGTTGCCTATGTGAATGTGTGCCACATGTGTGTACACATGCATGTACGTGTGTGTGTGTGTGTTCTCACTTGAGAGAGAGTGTATATGCATGCATGCGTGTATGTGTGTGATCATTCTGCATATGTGTGCATGCAGAAGCCAGGACAGGAGAAGATCTGGCGCTCTCCTCTACCGAGTCTTGAAATAGTTCCTCTCTCATCTCTTGAAACAGCTTCTCACTCTCTCTGAGCCTGGAGCTCGCCCTTTCCAGTTGTTGTCGGTTTGTTAGTCTCATGACCAACAATCCTCCTGTCTCACTCCACCCCAGCACTAGTGTTACAATCGAGTGTGGCCACATCCGGTTTGTTTTTGTTTATTTTTCTTTAAGTGTGAGTGACCCTGGGGATCTGAACTCAGGTCCTCAAGATTATACAACAAGTGTTCTTACCCACTGAGCCACTTTCCCAGCCCTTAAATATCTGCCTTTCTGTCAGAAAGAACCTGCATCCTGAGATGTGTTTGATTTCTATTGGAGGAGATTAAAAAGTGCAGTTTCCTCCTACCCAGCACAGTTCATATCTCACAGGGCTCGTTAAGTATAGACTTTCACACATCTGCTATTTTTAACCTCACAACAGCCCAAGCAGAGAAGCAAGTGTTACACCCTCATTTACAGGGGAGCAAATGGAGGCCCCGAAGACTGAATTGCTTGCCCACGGCCACCAAGCAGGTGGTTTTGCAGTTAGAGCCCAAGACCACAGGCATTCAACCTGACATAGACAGAGGGTATTTCTGCATGTTTTCACCACTCTCAAGTATGTACCTGGCCCTGTACCAAGCTACAGTTTGATGGGCACAGAAAGATGTCATAACTGAGATTTCTCAAAAGTAGGCAGAGGCACCTGACACATGTCCAGAGCTCCAAGCTGAAAACAGGAGGTGCTGTCATTTGAAGATCTACTTGACGCTGACATGGCGGTGGGGGCCATGAGGATCCCTTTGTCCTGGTGGGGCACTGAACAGCATAAGCAGCCTGGAAGGCCTGTCCTTCTCCGTGAGGTTAACTTGATCCCAGGAAAAATGGCGGCTGACTATAAGGACAGAAACAGAAATGAGCAAGGTCAGCCAAGGGGGCAACTCTCTCTGTGAACCAATGAAAAGCTAAACTGGGCCAGCGGGGCTTTCAGGAGCTTGGGCCCTGGTCTGGGAACAGGACCGCATGGTTCAATCCCAGCAGCAGATTAGCTCTGGGCTCCCAGAACGAGGGTGCTCTGGTCTCCAGTGTCCTGCCAATGCCTGGACCTCAGCACTTTCACTCCCCCTCCCCCACAATGCTCCTGATGCTACTAAACAGCCCCAACCGCCTTCTCCCCTCGACCCCTTCCCTGATCACAACCTTTCCCGGCCCCTCTACCTTCCCCCCTCAGCACAATGCTCCTGATGCTACTAAACAGCCCCAACCGCCTTCTCCCCTCGACTCCTTCCCTGATCACAACCTTCCCCGGCCCCTCTTCCCCCCCCCCCCCCAGCACCGCTAGTTTCTAGGTTCTCTGCAGAGCTGTGAACTCACCTTCCTGCTTCTCGATCTCTGTGTGTCTTCTGATTTCTATCCCTCTGACTAACTCTCTCATATGATGGGCTCAGGCTCTTGAGACAAAGTGTCTGGTTGGTCTCATCACCGCTCCCTTACACACACACACACACACACACACACACACACACACACACGTTTCCACCACACTCCCTCCCCGACAGGCTGTGAGCTGACCTGGAGACCAGAGTTCTGTCTGCAGCCAAGGGTTCAACAGAGGTCAAGTCAGCTATTGCTCTGGAGATGAAGGTGGGTGGGTCCTGTGGGGCAGAGCATGACCACACCCGCCTGTGTGTAAAGAAGAGCTGGAGTGGGCTGGGGCTGTTGCTCTGTGGCTCGGCGCTTTCCTACCTTACCTGAGGCCCTGCGTCCCATCTCCGGAGATACAAAACTAATTAATTAACATTAAGAACGGAAAAGCCCTTTGTTCTCCCCGAGATTGGCTTTTTCTGTGTAACACTGGCTGGCTTTCAACTCTCTACAAAGACCGGACTGACCTCAAACTTGTGAACATCTTGCCTCAGCCTCCTAAGTGCTAGCATGATAAATATGCACACCCAGCCCGGCCGTTGAGTCTATAATTTATCAAGGAGCAGTCAGCAGAGGGTAGTCAGATAAAATTCAAGATCCTCAATTAAATCTGAATTCCTGATAAAGGGCATAAAAATGTTCTCCTAGTGGTGTGCGCAAAAACATTGCAGGGGACGTACAAATATTGTTCATTGCATATTGGAGATCTTGTGGAGAAACCTGTTAAATATGACAGTGTTGTGTGAGGGGGAAAAAGAGGGTTGCTAACATGACCCACCAGGCACTTGAGTTTAGAAAGACACAGCTGGACGAATGCCAGGGTTTGGCAAGAAGACTCAGCCGGGGAAAGTGCTTGGCTCACGAGCCGGGCGACCTGAGTTCAAGCCCAGTGCAGTGGTACACACCTGTAATCCCAGCATTCCTATGGCAGGGTGGGGGGGCGGGACAGGAGCGTCCAAGTAGCCGGAAGTGCGCAGAGAGGCAGAAATGAGAGAAGCCCTGCCTCAGCAAGGCGGAAGGAGAGATCAGACTCCTGAACACCACCCTCTGAACTCAGCAGGGGTGCTGTGGCTCAGGTCTGCCAGGACCCGTATGTGCCCTCCCACACACATACACACCAGCAATAAAATAAACTTTTATGTATAAAGAGTGACGCAACCCTCACTTGAAACATAAAGAGACAGATGCTAAGGAGCTGCTCATGAGCCGCTGCGGCCATCTTGTCGCCGGTGCCTCCAAACACCCTCCACGATCTTTGCCACAGACATTTCCAAGCGATGCGTGTGTCTGTCCCTGGACCTCAGCTCATCCTGACGAACCTGATCTGTGTGATCAGATTGACAGTCCCTGTTTTGACACCAGCATACACTGGCCCACTTCAAAACTGCATTCCGGCCTTCCACCTTGACGGCCTAACAGTGGTCCATAACCTGTTCCTGGTCACCGGCACTCAGTCTCTCTGGCATTAGCACTGACTCTACTTCTGCTAGCCTCAGGTATTGGGACTCTCTACCGCTTTCTAAATCTCTGTTATCGATACGACGACTGAAAGCATTATGTATCTGGGAGCTATAGATGCTAGTGATTGAGACCGAAGGGCTGAGAGACAGATGGCTTAGTCTGTTAAGTGCCTGCCACACAAGCATGAGGGCCCAGGCTCAAGTTCCCAGCACCCATATAAAGAATGCAAGAGCAGTGGTTTGCATGTGTAACCTTTACGTGTGGGGAGTGCAAGGCAAAGGCAGGACTTTACTGGGCAGCCAATCCAACCAATCAGTGAACTGGTGGGCAGCCAATCCAACCAATCAGTGAACTGGTGGGCTAGCTAGAGCTCAGTGAGAAACCATGTCTCAGCGAGTAAGATGGAAAGCAACTGAGGAAGGCGTCCAGCATCAACTGCTGACTGCAACACACACAGAAACAGACAGACAGACAGACACACACAGAAACAGACAGACAGACAGACACACACACAGAGACAGACACACACACAGAAACAGACAGACAGACAAATACACACACAGAGACAGACAGACAAACACACACAGAGACAGACAGACAAACACACACAGAGACAGACAGACAGACAAACACACACAGAGACAGACAGACAGACAAACACACACAGAGACAGACAGGCAAACAGAGACACACACACAGAAACAGACAAATAGATAGACACACACAGAAACAGACAGACAGACACACACACACACAAACAGACACACACACAGAGACAGACAAACAGACACACACACACAGAAACAGACAAACAGACAAACAGACACACACACACAGACAGACACACACACACAGAGACAGACAAACAGACACACACACACAGAAACAGATAGACAGACACACACAGAGACAGACAGACAGACAGACAAACACACACACACACACACAGAAACAGACAGATAGACAAACAGACACACACAGAAACAGACAGACAGACACACACACACACATATGCTGCAAAGGAAAAATGATAAAAATGGAATAAAGAACTTGTAATTTCTTAGGACCAGCTACCAAGTGAAACCATGATGAAGCAAAGTGAATGAAGCCGATGTGGCGTGCGGCTTTATTGACATGTAACAAGGTCTGACTGTGAGACCAAAACAGAAAACAAGAATAATACACCTTGCAAGTTAATGGGAGACCAAAGCAGGAAACATATACCCTGCAGGTTAAGGGTAATGCTTCTAGTTAAGATAGTTAAGAATAACTTCCTGATAGTTCTATGTTTGTTTGTTTGGCCCATCTGCCCTAGACATGCTTGATCACATGTGGGTGGGAGGTACATGGGCAGGAAATACGTCAGGATGCAAGTGTGCCCATGACTGGACATGATGGGGTATGTGCAGAATTACAGCTTTTTAAGCTCCTGCAACATGGCTTGTGGCCATTTCCTGGGAACCCAGGTACGGAGCTGCCCAGAGTCTATCCACCTGGAAAGTATTGAATTAAAACTTGCTTCAAAACTGGCTTTAAATTGTGGTAATGGTTTTATTCTCAATCAGTGGGATTAACACTGACCGGCGGTAAGACACGTTGGTCTATCAATGGCATAGCTGGCTTATGACACCAACTGCTTTTACAACTCAGGATGCTGTGGGTCCCCAAAAAGCATCTTTAGCAAATGAAGTCAGTAAACGGCTGTAGGTCTATTACAGCTCTTCTGGACACGAATAAGCCATCACTATCCGTCTGCCCACACAGAGACCACATCCATTTCCTCTGTCAGATGACAGCCCACAGCATGCTTGCTTCGTCACCATGTCTAATGAAAATGTTACGGCTCGGGTGAAAATTCATCCCAACAGTTGGAAGCCAAGGAATCCCACATCGTCCCACCGCATAGCAAACCTCACACAAGAGATTTATCGAGAGGGAAAAACCCAGGAGTGTGGCTGTCTCATCTCTAGTGAGAAGCAGAGAACTGAGCAGAAGGCAGACCGTACACAGTTTCCTGGGAGGGGTGATGGAACTTTTCAGGGTGGGTTGGGATTGGTAGGATTATGAGGCCTGATTTGGGGGCAAGCTCAGGGATTGGTGAGTTTTTTTTTCTTGTAGGGCAGGACCTGGCCACTCTGCCATCTGAGGACTGGGCAGTTAAGACCAGGCCATGGAGCTCTTCCGGCAGGGGCCTGGCCATTCCAACATCTAACAGAGTTTACAAAGTATAGAAAGTTTACAAAGAGGGTACCTGCCTGCTTGAGTTGGCATGGATAGCCAGTATCTAACTCAAAGTCTAGGATTCTAGACCAAGAAGGTACAAGCTCTTGGTCAGTCTTACATGTGACTCCTCTTGGTTGAGCAATTTCTTAGCTAAAAGACCAGTTATCTGTCCCTCTAACACAGTGGTTCTCAATCCTTTAATACAGTGACTGCAACCCCTTAATACAGTTCCTCGTGCTCTGGTGACCCCCAGCTACAAAATTATTTTTGTTGCTACTTCATAACTGTAGTTTTGCTACTGTTATGAATCATAATGTACATATCTGTGTTTTCCGATGTCTTGGGCGACCCCTGTGAAAGGGTCTTTCAATCCCCATAGGGGTCACGACCTACAGGTTGAGAACTGCCGCTTTGTCAGCTCCAATATCCTTGGCTGGAATGGGAACTTGATAACAGCAATTAAGGCACCTGCCACACAAAGAGAAAAGGGGAAATAATGCTGTTTTTACCTAACAGCGAGCAATGTAAAAACCTCTGGCAGGTTGAGCCCCTTGCTGTCCCTCATCCTGCTCTCTGGGAGGGATTCCTTGTTTTCTTTAGGGTCTCCTACTCCACTCTCTAAGGGACCCTTCCTCACTCATTATCAATGGGACCGCCTCTAGAGCGACCCTCATGAAGACAGTCCAGCCTCCGTGGCCCCACTTCCTGCTCAGACAAACTTAGGAGAAAAGGATAAGGCTTGGCCAGTCAGAGATTATTATTCATCTGAGCTTGGGACCTTTGTAATACAATCACCCAGTAACAATAACCTTCCCGTTTCTTCGATTCCAGTAAATTCTAAAGGCCAGTGACCACACCCAAGTCTTTTCCTAGAGCTAGTTGTGAGGTCTAAGTTGTTTGCTTCCTCGTCTCAATAGCTTTCTTTGGACCTAGAAGCAGCTACCTTGGGACCACGTGAACAACTGGGTTAGGTGAAAAGTCTCCCCCCCTCATCTGAGCTTTGCTGCAGGGTTGAGCGGCAATACCTAATTCTTAATGGCCTTCTCTCTCTCTGTCTCTGTCTCTGTCTCTGTCTCTGTCTCTCTCTCTGTCTCTGTCTCTCTGTCTCTGTCTCTGTCTCTCTGTCTCTCTCTCTGTGTCTCTCTGTCTCAGTCTCTGTCTCTGTCTCTCTCTCTGTCTCTGTCTGTCTCTCTCTCTCTGTCTCTGTCTCTGTCTGTCTCTCTCTCTCTGTCTCTGTCTCTGTCTCTGTCTCTCTGTGTGTGTGTGTGTGTGTGTGTGTACATACTTTCTGATCTTAATCTCAACTTGGGATCCAGAGCCAACAAGCTTTACTACATCTTGGGATTCTTTTTATTCTCTATGTTTCTTCCTTTATAGTTTATGTTGAAAGACCCCGGCC